GTTGGTGTAACCTTCTTCTATTCTTCTTAAGCTGTAAAATTTGGCTTCAAGGGGATGACGGCAAAGATTTACGTACGGTGCCCAGATTAACGTCGAATATACGATGCCTATCAAAGTGCATATTGGTCTCGCAATGATTGTGTTTTGCCTCCTGTCGTGTTCGTAGCTTCATCGATCCGACCAGCATTGGCATCCTCATTTTGGCCTCACCAAGCCTCAGTTTCGTCATTTCATACTTCAATATTCACACGCTGCTCAGGTTCTAGCCGCATGGCACGATGCATACTGAGTTTAGACGCGTACCTTCATGAAATCCACAAGTTTCGTGAGACACTCACCTTACTTCTGTGCAGAGTCTCGATGCACTCGTTTGTAGGCTTCCTGTGGATAAAGCATTAGATGTGAACGGATGCTTTCGCAGATGATCACATGATCGATGAGTCAAAATCTGCAGACTTGTTTATCGAAATTTGTGGCCTGTTTTTAGGCCAGATCCAAACCACCGCTTTCGATCAGCAGCGACTAAGTTTTAGCCCCCATTACTTTAAAACATCATCGTTTCCGTGGCGGCTTTCATACAATTAGACGGTTGCAGGTGCAGTGCTTGGCACAAAGGTTTCGAGAAAGTACAAGCGAATATCCAAGATCGATATGGTCAGATTTGGTCAATTGCAGATATTGGCTTTCTGAATTTCTTTTCCAGTATTTGCATGGATTTAAAAATTCATAATCAGAAAAATTTTACACAACTAAAAACCGTCGGCGTCAGCGGATCTGTACGACACTTTTAAATAAGTATGCAGAAAAATTAAACAAATTATTCAGTGCTATGATCAGATCACCGCATTTGCCATCGTTGAAGTTTTCGAAAGCAAAAACATGATTTAAGAAAGACATAGTCATCAGTCGTGTATTGTTCACCATTTCGATCGCTGCACAAGAGAACTGTGTCCTGAACAATGACTGTTCTATGATTTTGCGGAAAAAATCGAGGCGTTAACTGAGGTGCCAAGTTTCAATCTCAAAATAATTCCCTCGAGGAAGGAGCCAATCTCATGTTGTTTTGGTCCAACCAGCGGTTGACTTGCTGACTACACAGACAGCGCATTATTTCAGGGAGTAATCGTGCAAAAATGGATGAAGGGTACGGTCATGCTATCTGATGATCTTATCTTTCAGGGCTAAAAGTCTTTTTAATGCTTAATCCTTGAGAGGTGACTGTTTTATGTGCTAATCAGCACCGAGTATAGGTCTCTTTGTTTCTCCTTGAGAAGTCATACTTTCGCGCTGTTTCCACTGTCTTAGTGAAAACTAACTTTTATTATTAGATCTCAATTTTTATTTGGCAATATTTTCTATTGAGTAGTTTATAATTATACGAGTTGAAACACAAGATAAGTGGAAAGATTTCAATTGAGGTCAGGCACTTCACGTAGGCAGCAGTGATACTACAGTCATCAGAATAGGAACGAGCGGCGGCGGAAAACGACTGGTTCTGTACTGCAATATACTTAACGTTGAGATATGCAGATTCATTGATGCATTCAGATAGTGTTCTCTTGCCACGTGCTAAACGGAACCCCTTTTATCTTGACTGCATTGCGAGGAGAATTTGAAATTATCCAAACGCCCCTGACAGGGTCAATCATGCTGAAGCAAGAATGTGGCTTTCGATGAGGTGCTCCGCTCATATAAATGATTTTAAAGCATATGCTGACTTGATTCATAAACAGAGGTAAGCAATCAATAGGGAAATTTTTAATTTTTTGACGAAAAAGATAGAAGTATGAAATGCCAAACCCTGTGTAAAAGAAAATCTGCTTTTGAACCAACGATTCAGAACCTTTGAAGACGAGTAAACAGCATATCTTATGCTGTTTACAACATTTCTTTTCTAGGCAGTGCAGTACTTTGACTTTTGGGGCAGGTTTATGCCAGAGGCACAGGTGCGAAACAAACGTAGTTGACGGAAATGCGTTTTAGTCAAGGCCCTGGCTTGCACAACAGGTTTTTCAACGAGTCTCAGACACACCTTATGAGAAACTTTGGTACAAAGTGAACGGACGTTTCTGACCTGAATTAAATTTTGCTCGTCGTTCGGCAGCTCTTAAGGTTAAGGTCATTACTCGTTTGCGGGATGCATATCATTCAAAATCGCTTTAACCTCAGCCTTAAGAATTGCATAACGGCAAGTCGAACGAAACTCAGATCCAACACCTCCTTTCAGTAAGTACTGAGGATGTTCATTAGGTATGTCAGAAGCCTGTTATAAAACCTGATGTGTCGTCTTCGAAATGGCCTATTTTTCTGCTCGACAACAAGAGTACAGTGGTACCTACGGATTCTTTTGTCTTACGGCAGGAGTTGAGTAACAACGCTGAATGGCGATTTAAATTTCTGAGCCAACTGATGCTCATTCTTTGAACTGGTGTCTTGGATGTCAGTTATCCGGCCATTATTCCGGAGCAGGCAAGTAGAAGACATCCGACCGACGGTCTGGTTTATATGGCAGCAGCCCTATTGCTGTCCAGGATTTATCTTCTAGAGGTGGAGAAATGACTCCATTGGGCTTGTCCAGTTGCAGCTTTGTACCATCAGATTGCCACACTCCCTGAGGGGACGAAACTAGATGTTAGATTTAACATTAAAGAAATTTTACCACAAATAGCAGGTAAAATTAATATGTGCTTGCCAAGACGGTGTCGGGTAAAAATAAACATTAGAAGATGGTTTAAGACGATAAAATTACCGTCGAATTCAATTTTATGATTTACATTGCACAGAATTTGGAATAGCCTTAATCGTCAAAGTTAAAAGTTATAATCTTCTATCTTCTAAGTACTGTATTTGTGAAAGTTTTCAAAATTATTCATAATTTCGCGAAACCGTTTCGATTCTGCTTATTCGACTATGATATTGATCATCCATGGTCCCAGACCCAAGTAGTTAACTGACTTTGAAGTCTTGATTTTAACTGCTGCTGTTTCACAGCGAAACAACTTTGGCTATTTTTGGGCAAACCTCGTTTAAAGACAATAGTGAGACGCTTGCTAAATTTGACTTAACAGCGTTTAAAGATGAAAACTTTGATGAACTGGAATTGAGAAATTTTTTATTTGGTCCAGATTTACGGTATTTCTACCAAGGACTTTGCAGGGCTCTTGAATCTGATTCAATTTTTTGTATGAGACATCAGCCCATTGCGTGCTAATTCAACATGACTGTTTTTCGATCCAGGATCGACCTTCTTGCCACCCTCCAAAATTCATTTGATTTTTTAATGCACCAACCTGAATGTCACTGCGTTCCCTTGTTGACTACCAGGCCGCAGTGAAAAGCTTAATAAATGAAACGCTGAATGCCTGTTGTGACAAACCAAATAAAGAACAGGTTTTTGACAAGGTTATCGCACTTTAAAGTTGGCGGCACGTGAATTCGCCAAAATCGATTGAACTTGTTTCTGAACTCACCTGTAACGTTTTTGCATGTTTGTTTTGTCATCAAAATACGGTATACTTAGTGGCGTCGTAATGAACATACTACAGTTCTTCACCGCTGATGTACAGGGTGGCAACTCTATTGACGCAAGTACAGGCTCTTTTCATGACAGTTGTGCAAGATGCGTTTTTACACCTAGCCCTGTCATATCGAGTAGTAAACACTGGCATACTGAAGTGGCGCTGGAGTACGATCCAGTAGCTTTAGGTGGTGGATGCCATCCATTTGTTCTGATATCCTTCCTTGACCAACGCCATGCAGATCCTTTGGAATGAAGGAAGGTTTGGCAGACGTTAGTAAACGCACATGAAAGTTAGCACCACAGTTAACTGACGACTAACTACTCCCTGAGTAATCTCCGGAAGATCGACTTGCATTCGTCGCGCCTCTACAAGGAGGACGATTCGATGGAGAAACGAAGTATAAACATTCCGGAAATAAACCAGATGAACCAGCTGATGAACTTTAATTGAAAATTCAATCGCTGTATGCTCAACGTTAAATGAGCCTTATATAATTCCGTCAAGCTGTGAGTCTATTTGGCTTTGGCCTGAGCTAATAGTGTCTGTAAATTAATTATGAAATATGCTGCGAATTATTCTTCCCACCCTTTTCAAGTCAACTTAGATTAGAGTTTGTAACTGTTGAAATATCGGTCATCCGTACACTTTTATGATGGAACCGTTTTGGTGCCGTTTTTTCATGAAGTTGATGGTATGTTGCCCTTCTCTGTTTTTTACCATCAGTCAAAAGTGCCCTATTTTAAGGGCTAAGTCGACAGAATGTTGTAAAGCTCCCTGAAAAGCGAATGATCGAAATACTAAACATTGAGGTTAATAATTTGTTTCATTCATGGAACGCTTTAGATAAAACATAAGATGAAATTGACAACACCATATTCTTCGGCAAATATGAATTTTTCGCCTTAATTACGACAGCGGTGTCAGTAAGATCCGTTAGTATGTCGATTCTTTTGGACTTTGAACAGTGTCTCTAACACTGTTCTGACGCATCCTCTGTTCCTTCTTAACCTTCCTCTCCCAAATCTTCATACTATGAGCAGACCGAGTGGAAACGACTAATTGTACTGAGTCTCGGCTTGCCATGTTAAGAGCGATGAGAATTTACACTTTATTGATCCTTCTTTTTGCTCAAGTAAATATACTTCTATCAAAAGTGAACTGATTATACTCCTTAAGTGCGTATAATATTTGTATGTTAACTGCTTGTATCAGTTTTGGTTTTATATAGCATCTGCACTGCGTTGTCGTTACAGATACATCGATAACGAACCAGGATTTCATACTGTGGAAATAAAGAAGAACGATGACAGCAACTTGACAGTCGGTCTCAGCTTTGACAACCCGGTTTCAGCAAGGAACTTTTTTCACCGTTTCAAGATTTGGCAGACCGAATGCCGCAACAGTGCGGAAGTTCATCGAAGTGGAAGGAAAGGTTTATTCAAGCATTCGATTACCGTCGAATGGCCGATGACGATCGCCGGACTGATCGCCAGGCAACGGCTGCCGGTGGCCAAATCATCCATATCCGGGCCGTGTTTCTTCCGTCACGTCACGTCGTTGAGGCCGCACGACATCCTGAATCACTCACAGTCGTTTGTAGATCAAGTGACGACATTGCCATCAAGCTTTAAGAGCCATTCACCGGACAGTCGACGAATAACTCAGCACTCGATGAGTCTCCACCGAAACAGTGTCATGGAAGAGCTGAAGGAACGTTCGTACAACCAGTAGCAGTTGGAACCGATTCGCCTCATGCTAACGGCTTCGCCACAAGTGTGTTTCGCGCCTCAGTCAGTCTTTGTACATGACGCTACGGTCCTGGGACAAGAAACCTCGAACAGAAAATCTTCAAATATTCGTCGTTTCGCCGTTTGCCAAGAAAATCGAATACTGATGAAGGATTTTCAACCGTTATTCTCTCTTTGAACTTGTGCATCGATCGTCCTTTCTGCTTTTTTTGAGACATATGCAGGTACGCCTACGATCTGTGTACCCTTCCTGAATTACCAAGCATGGGAGAGGCGGAACAGGTGGTCATCGATCGCCAGGAAATGAAGGAACCAAAATTGCTGTTTCGATTTTGTACCAATTATGAATATAATATTTTCAGTCATGCACTTATTTTTTTACATATAATACTGACATGAATATTTTGGCGTGGATTAAAATACGTTTAGAATATATGCATGAAACAAAAGAAATTTATGAATCGGAAATCTGTTGCCTCGTCAGAATTACGTTTCCAAATCTTTTGAAAACATAACACGCTGTATGAAAACAATTATCAGGGAATTTCACGCTTACGCGCAGTCGGAGTAGTCGTATAAACCTAAAATACTAATTCATGCAGCTCAGTTACCTACAACTCAAGCCTCGGTTTCTTCTCTGCGGTGAAATAATAACGGAGAAAGTATATAAAAGCGGAATATACTGAAACAACCCTTTACGATCACTCGGAAAGATACAGAAGCAGCAATAAAACTGAACAAAGCTAGGTTTAGCCCACCAAAACTATCAAACGCACAGATGAGCGCATGTCCGCAGAAACGGATGCCCTTCACGACGGTTGGTCAAGGCTGATTGGTAGGTGAGATTAAGAAAACAAGTTATAAAAAATGAAGTACAAAACTTAGGAAAGTTCACAATGAAAATAAATCCCAAACTAACTACTTTCTTCGTAGCTGCTAACATCATATGTGCTGATCAAATGTAAACTTGACTCCTTGAACCTGTGTTCGTTATCAACGTTTCTGGCCTCGTTCCAATGCGATGAAAGAAAATTTCCTCTGTCGCAAATAATATCATAAGCAACTTGGTGCATTTTATTTATATGTACCTTTTTTAATCATTTATATTCCTCTTGGATATTTAATTTTCTGAGACTTTTTCACTCGAATGTTCAGAACACTCTGCTGTCTGTTTCTTCCCTCCTGTAAAAAGCAAGAAAGTGAGGCATAAAGATTGGTTACTGATATTTTAACATTTCCATGCTGAGAATGAAGCTGTGTTCAAACGCTCTAAAGCGCTGTACCAACTGAAGTTGTGGCCCTCTTTTATTTACTGTTAGCTGCTTTTGGTCAGCGAATGTGCTTCATAGCTGAATTCCACCGATCAGATCGTATAAACTCATGTTATCAAAGATAACAAAACTTTAAAGGCAATCCTTTTAAATTACCAGATTTTCTTTAGCTTTAAAATCCTCCTAACCGGTTGGGATTCGCGAACTTTATCCATTGGTTTAATTCAACAGCCAGAAAGCTCAGACTTCATGACTCTACTACTCCTGTTGTTCAAACTAACATTTTGCTGCCTGAACAGTGCAACAAGTATATTTTGTAGTTTCTAGCAAAGTTGAAGCAGCATAACCGTGATTATCCTATGACTTTCCGTCTGCGCTTTTCATACCAACAATAAACGGGTTACTGTAAACGGTCTCGTTCCTCATTTTTCTGACCCTCACACCTCTATACGAACATGGACATTATGCCACACACCTATTTACCCTAATGACCTTTGCACTTCTGTACCACCTCAATCGCCGCAGACAATACTCATTACCTAGACATCTGGCGCTTTCGCCCACGTAGGCCAATAAACAATATCGATATATCAGTAGCGCTTTCAGCAAGTTCACTACCCGCAACATGCGTAAAGAATTCTGTGAGGGGAAACTGATAAACACGATGTTGAAGGAAGAAACCGAACCGTTACCAAAGGTCCTCATCCGGAATAACATAAAAAGTACTGAGGGCAAAACTCCAACAGAATGGGAAATGGGGAACATGTTACCGAATAGAAGCTATTGAACCTCAGAACATAGATGAAACATAATTGATGGCACCTATGTATAGAACATTGAAATGGACAGAACCTCGAAGACTTCAACCGCATGCACTTACCTTCAACAGCAGCTTAGACCCATATTCCCCTGCAGCACACTCCGGGCAGAAACTGCTAGTCCAATTTGCCTTTTTGTTTCTATCGATATTTTCATAAAATAATTTTTATTATTGTGCATGTCGTTGCTCTACTAGACATTTCGATTAGTATGTTGTGCATCGAGGTTTTGACACAACTTTAAATAAGGATAAAAAAATTGCCCTACCTGCTCAAAACTACCGGTATCAGCATCCCCCCTTCATCGGCAGCCCAGCGATATCCTAGAGATTGCCGTTTATTTAGAGTTGAAACTGTTACTGCGTCCTTCATGCGTTAAATCTCTTTCCATCCTGGAATATTGACAGCATAGGCGTGATGCATACCGGATGAGCTCGACGTACATAGTTCTCTGAATTAGATCCAAAACGTCATGGCGAACTTGAATCATGTTCTTCTACTCCGTGCTTGTATAAAGAGCTCTACGCGATATATACTCTTCCGTGCATCTGTGGTATCTGTGCCTGTACAACTCGAAAATATCACATCGCCTCAAAACCTAACCATGAACCGGGTTTCAGTAAGGCTCACTGTTCACAATGGGGAACCGACGTTCAAAGCTTAGCATTTCATCCAAGTTGCTCATAA